AAACAAAATGAGACTAAATGGGCACACCAGCCCCGGGGCAAGGACAAGAACGCAGGAGGGGACAGGAAAGCTGGTAATGGGGAACCCAAGGTCAAGAAGGGGGGAGTGTTGACATACCATGAGGCTGGCAACCAATGTCACAAAACAACGTGTATTGTTTAATGAGAAACTAGTTTGCTCTGTAAACCTTCATCTAAAGTACAATCAATAAGAAAGACTCAATTCATTATCCTTATTATGTATGGAAGTAGATATTGTTTGGCAGCTTAATTGTGATGAAATCATTGAAGAATTTATAAGAGCAAAGAATAGAAAAAAATGTTTTTAATTATAACATGTTAGAGATGAAAGATCTACCTAAAGATAAAATAATTTGTTATAACATTTGTTTTCTAATCATTAAATTTTCTTTTATGACATCTTTTCATTTGTTCATTTATAATTATAGCATTTATTACAAAACAAGCATCAAAATTGAAGTATTAGCCATTTAAAGCAAAATTGGTGAAAGTTAATTTTTCGTTGTGGGAGATCAACAAAATTTTACATTGATTATCGATACAACTAAGTTCACTGACTCCTTTTCTTTGTTGTGGAATATGTGGAATATTCTTTTTGTAGAAAATGTGGTATGTAGTAAAAATCTTAGCACCCAGCATCTACTAAAAATTTTATAATACAGGTCATCTCATCCGCTGAAATGGCATACACCACTTTTGCATTCAATTGCTGATACTACAGTTACATTGAAAAAGAAGTCATATCATGGATAGCTAAAAGACATTCTCACACACACACACACACACACACACACACACACACATATGTATATAACTCACATATCCCATTTCAATGTGTGAGTAAGCAGAGGACGGGCCACCACAGATTATCACTGTTCAGGGCCCTTACATGCCTTAATCTAGCCTTGTTCAGCAAGCAATTTGTGATATCTGCATATCGCAGGTTGTTACTGAATATTCCTCCAACCCTGATATCACGTTCTTTTTCATATAGTGCAGCTTCTCAGATTATTTACTCAGCATACAGATTGAGTGGTATGGTGAAAGGATGCAACCCTGATGCACACCTTTCCTGATTTTAAACCACACAGTATCCCCTTGTTCTGTTAGCATGAGCACAATTAACTGTTCTGGAATTCCCATTCTTTAAAATGTTATCCATAACTTGTTAGGATCCACACAGTCAAATGCGTTTGCATAGTCAATAAAACACAGGTAAACGTCTTTCTGGTATTCTCTGTTTTCAACCAAGATCCATCTGACATTAGCAATGATATCCCTTGTTCCACGTCCTCTTCTGAATCCTGCTTGAATTTCTGGCAGTTCCCCACTGATGTACTGCTGCAACTGCTTTTGAATGATCTTCAGCAGAATTTTACTTGCATGTGATATTAATGATATTGTTAGATAATTTCCACATACTGTTGGACACCTTTCTTTGGAATGGGCACAAATATGGATCTCTTCCAGTCAGAAGGCTAGGTAGCTGTCTTCCAAATCTCTTGGCATAGATGAGTTAGTGAGCACTTCCAGCTTTACATCACAATTGGTATTCCATAAATTCCTGGAGGTTTGTTTTTCAACAATGCCTTCAGTGCAGCTTGGACTTCTTCCCTCAATACTGTCGGTTCTTGATCATATGCTACCTCCTGAAATAGCTGAACATCGACCAATTCTTTTTGATGCAGTAACTCTGTGTATTCCTTCCATCTTCCTTTGATGCTTCCTGCGTCGTTCAATATTTTGCCCATAGAATCCTTCAGTATTGCAACTCGAGACTAGAATTTTTTTCTTCAGTTCTTTCAGCTTGAGAAATGCTGAGTGTGTTCTTCCCTTTTGGCTTTCTAACTCCAGCTCTTTGCACATTTTATTATGATATTTTACTTTGTATTCTCGAGGCGCCCTTTGAAATCTGTTCAACTCTTTTACTTTATCATTTCTTTCTTTCACTGTAGCTACTCTACCTTCAACTGCAAGTTTCAGAGTCTCTTCTGACATCCATTTTTGTCTTTTCTTTCTTTCCTGTCTTTTTAATGACTTTTGCTTTCTTCATGTATAATGTACAATGTCCTTGATGTCACCCCACAACGACTCTGGTCTTTGGTCGTTAGTGTTCAATGCATCAAATCTATTTTTGAGATAATCTCTAAATTCAGGTGAGATATATTCAAGGTTGTACTTTGGCTCTCGTGGACTTGTTTTAATTTTCTACAGCTTTACCTTGAACTTGCATATGAGCAAATGATGGTCTGTTCCACAATTGGCCCCTGGCCTTGTTCTGACTGATGATATTGAGCTTCTCCATCATCTCTTTCCACAGATGTAGTCGATTTGATTCCTGTATATTCCATCTGGCAAGGTCCACCTGTATACTCGCTGTTTATGTTGTTGAAAAAAGGTATTTCCAATGAATAGGCCATTGGTCTTGCAAAATTCTATCATGTGATCTTCTGCATCATTTCTAACAATGAGCCCATATTTTCCAATTAATGATCCTTCTTCTTTGTTTCCAACTTTTGCATTTCAATCACCTGTAATTATCAATGCATCTTGATCGCATGTTTGATCAATTTCAGACTGCAGAAGTTGGTAAAAAATCTTCAATTTCTTCATCTTTGGCCTTAGTGGTTGGTGCATACATTTGAATAAGTCGTATTGACTGGTCTTCCTTGCAGGCTTACGGATATTATCCTGTCACTGACAGCACTGTACTTCAGGACAGATCTTGAAATGTTCTTTTCAACAATGAATGTGATGCCGTTCCCCTTCAATTTGTCATTCCCGGCATAGTAGTCCATATGGCTAATTCAAAATGGCCAATATCAGTCCATTTCGGCTCACTAATACCTAGGACACCATCTTCAAGTGTTCCGTTTCATTTTTGACAACTTCCAATTTTCCTAGATTCATGCTTCAAAAACTCCACTTTCCAATTATTATTGAATGTTTGCAGCTGTTTCTTCTCATTTTGAGTTGTGCCACATCAGCAAATGAAGGTTTCAAAAGTTTTATTCCATCCACAACATTATGGTCGACTGTACTTTGAGGAGGCAGCTCTTCCCCAGTCATAACTTGAGTGCCTTCCCACCTGTGGGGCTCATCTTCTGACACTATATCAGACAATGTTCTGCTGCTATTCATAAGGTTTTCACTGGCCAATTTTTTCAGAAGTGGATTGCCATGTCCTTCTTCCCAGTCTTTCTTAGTTTGGAAGCTCTGCTGAAACCTACCCACCATAAGTGACCCTGCTGGTATTTGAAATACCAGTGGCGTAGCTTCCAGCATCACAGCAACACACAAGCCACCACAGTAAACAAACTGACAGATGAGTGGTGGAAAACATTCTTAGACAAAAACAATGGAACAAGCTTTTCCTTTGGGAATTTTGAAGAATATTGAATACACCATGGACTGCCAAAAGAATGAACAAATCTGTCTTGGAAAAAAGTACAACCAGAATGCTCCTTACAAGCCAGGATGTCAAGACTGTGTCTCACATAATTTGGACATGTTATCAGGAGATATCAATCCTTGGAAAAGAACACCATGCTTGGTAAAGTAGAGGATGAGCAAAGAAGAGGAAGACTCTCAATGAGATGGACTGACACAGCGGCTGCAGCAATGGGCTCAAGTGTAACAACAATTGTGAGAATGGGGCAGAACTGGCAGTATTTCGTTCTGTTGTACATAGGGTTGCTAGGAGTCGGAATCAACTCAATGGTACCGAACAACAACAGTTCTGATGAGCTTACCTAAGGTCAGGAACATAAAGGCATTTGTAAACCTCTCTCATCTGTACCTGCGGAGCTGGGGAAGGGGAACCCTTGGGAGGATGAAAGAAAGTCCTGTTGTATCCCACACTATGAGAGCGAGGGAATGAAGTAGCTGCTGCTTTACATGTAATGAGGCATCTCCCCCAAAACATTCAAGTGATCACAAAAACATACAACCATGACTCTGAAGAGTTTCATATGTGATCATCTGTACATGTGCCAAAGTGAGGAAGTAATTTTTAATAGGAAATTTTAAAAATTTACCTGAGTACATAAATTTACTCACTTTGTCAGGTAAAGTACGGCTCTAGGTAAAGCTGTTGCCTTCTCCCAAATAATCCATGATTAGCTGAGTTGTGTTTCTGACTGCAAATCCCCAGAGACTGTTAAAAATGATCTATAAATGGCTTTCATTAATTCAACCTTCAAAAAGCATTTTGGGGGGGCACCTACAACATCCAGTTTCTGAAGACAACATCCCATGAAGAAACATTTGAGCTTTGATATTATCTTGTGTCAGGTTACCAATGAGGACAGAGGGAGGAGAAGGGGATAGTAGTGGGGATAAGGGTGCTTAGCTTTTCCTATAATGTTCATTTCTTCACAAAGAGAGGTACAGAGCAAATATGGCAAAAAATATTACCATCTTAAAATCTAGATGGTGAATGCATTAATGTTGTCCATAGTACTTACAGTATTTTTAGTATATGCAAAATATTTTGCAATTTAAATGCTTTTAATTTAACAAATTACATCTAGTTGCTAAAACGTATATTACATTAGGTTTCTCACATTATTAAGAACCATCCACCAAGGTCCTATGGCTAGACACCCAAATACATCTCAGGCAACAAGTGCAAATTTAAAACTAATTCCTTCCATCATTCATCTCAGGCATAGTGGAAGAGTAGTACTTTAGGACAAACAGAACTGAGTTCAAATCCCAGCTCTGTGAACATACTAGCTCTGCCACCTCAGGCGAGTTACTTGCTAAAGTAACTTGTCTTCCATCCTTCATCTGTAAAATGGGCATTCCCTATTGTAAAATGTATGCTAGTAGCATGGCCATGTGCTTGCCACTCTGTGGGCATCAAGGGTTAGTACCGTACCCTTCTTCTCCTTCCCCAGCTAGAAATCTGGAAGGGGAGGAGATAGTTCATCCAACACAAGGCCAAGAGGAAATCAGCTGCTCCTCACGATAAGAGCTGGCTGAGGCATAAAACTGGCTGAGGGCCTTGAGGCCAGCAAAGAAGAATCATGAGGTTCATCCTGCTGGTGGGTTTGATCGCTACCACCCTTGCGATTGCTCCTCTCCGCTTTGACAGGTAAATCTCACTGCCCTGTCTTCCAGTCTTCTGTGCGGGAAGAGGATTAAGGAATGTTTCTTTACCATTCACGTTTTTCATCTTTTATGTTCTTAAAGGGAAAAGGTGTTTCGTGTGAAGCCCCAGGATGAAAAACAAGCAAACATCATAAAGGACTTGGCCAAAACCAAGGAGGTAAAGTATTGAGAAGGATATTTTATCATTTCTTTCTGTTCTCTAAAAGTTGCCAGTCCCTTCTTCTTCTTCTTTTTTTAACACCCATGACCCTTTCCTAGAGCAAGTCCCTTTTAAAAGGAAACTCTTAAAGTTAGGTCAGCCTTTAAGAGCCAATCAAGGAGATGCTGTTGTGTCAATTCCGACTCATGGCAACCCCATGTGTGTCAAAGTAGAACTGCTCCACAGAGTTTTCAATAGCTGATTTTTCAGAAGGAGATCACCAGGGCTTTCTTCTTGATGTGCCTCTGGATGGGTTTGAACCACCAACCTTTCAGTTAGCAGCCAAACACTTAACTGTGCGCACCAGTCAGGGACTCCTTAAAATCCAAAGGGCTAAAATAGTTACTGTAGACTTTATTCAGCTGCACTATACACCAGGCACATTGTGTCAGCCACCTTGCATATGTCATTTCAAATTCTCCAACAGATTAGCAATGTTGGTTTTACAATACCCATTTAAAAACAGAGATAAAGTTCAGAAACAGTAAATTAAATGCCCAAGATTACACATCAGAGAATCTGAGATTAATTCTAGTCACATCCCCCTTTATCAGCCACATCAAATCAATCAAATGTTCTGCCTATTCTAATTCCCACATGTTTCTCAAATCTGCAGTTTTCTTCTCCATTCTACTACCATTGCTCAGTTCATGTCCTCATTACTTCTTACCAGGACGATTTCAATAGCCCCTTGACTAGTGTTTGTGGTTCCAGTACCGCTTCCCCTAAAGCCAAGTCCACACTGCAACCTGAGTGCTCTCTCTAAAAGCTGACAAGCATATTTCTCCACTTAAAGCTCTTTAGTGACAGGCAGCGTAGGATTGAAAGAGCATGGATGAGAGACAAATTCTTAGGTTCAAATCTCAGCTCTACACTAGCTCTGTTGCCTTAGGCAAGTTACTTAACCACACTGGGTCTCAATTTTCACCTCTGTAAAATGGGGATAATTATCATACCTACTTCATAAGATTGTTATAAAGATTAAGTGACTCAATACAAATCCCTAGGTGGTGCAGATGGAGCCCTGGTGGTGCAGTGGTTAAAAGCTCAGCTGCTAACCAAAAGGTCAGCAGTTCAAATCCACTAGCCACTCCTTGGAAACCCTATGGGGCAATTCTACTCTGTCCTATAGAGTCGCTATGAGTTGTAATCGACTCGATGGCAACAGGTATGGCATAGTACAGGTAGGTGGTGCAAACAGTTAACAAGCTCAGCTGCTAACCAAAAGGATGTAGGTTTGAGTCTATTCAGAGGCACCTCAGAAGAAAGTCCTTGTGATCTACTTCAAAAAAATCAGCCATTGAAAATCCTATGAAGCATACTTCTACTCTGACACACATGGAGTCGCCATGAGTTGGGACTGACTTGATAGAAACTGGTGGTACTGGTAATATTTGTGGAGCTCTCAGAAGCAAGTCTGGCCATGATAAGCACTGTGGAGATGTTTCCTATTGGTGTGGCATTCAAAGCCCTCATGATCTAAACTCTGCCAGACTCTCCAGCCCCCTGTCCTCCCATCCTCCTCCTCACTTTCCACACTCTGGGAACACCAAACACCCACCAGCTTTGGTCCTTCACACCTTTTCTCACAAGGATTGTGTTTCTCCACCTTTTTAAATGGCTAACTCCTCCTTATTCTTCAAGACCTAGCTCAGGCAGCATTTCCTACAAGGAGCCTTCTCTATCGACTCTTGTGACCCCGTTTGTTTCCCTGTCCTCCATAATCACCCTATGCTTGCCCCCGGCATTGGGTGGCCTTTTGGAAACACGCATTTATGCCTCTGCCTTCGACATGAAGCCTCTCGTTTTTCATAAGTCCTTTACTAGCCTCTATTACCATGGCGCCCAGGTCTGTGCCTGGAGCTTATAAACAGTCACGAAAATGCACTGACCTCTACAATCCTGTGCCACATCACCCCGTTAGAACAGAGGAATTGCTATTGTGATCAGATGGCCCTGCCTACCTCTCCTTTAAATCATACACCTCTCATATATCCAGTTCATGTTATAGCATTTTGATCAAAATAAACAGAGAGACTGTATGGTTCAGAATAGCATCATATTGCCACATCATTGATTGAACTTGAGGTAGTGAGAGATGCAACTAAGAAACAGCCGGCCTGACTTAGACACAGTCACAAGCTTGGTATGACCGGTGGAAAGTGAGCTTTCCCCACATTTGCCAGGTTGGAGAGGCGTACTTCTCTTGGTTTAACAAATTGAGAGTGATTTTAAAGAACCACAAGAATTGGAATCTTCTCAAAGTTTCTTTTTTTTTGTTTTAAAACCTAAATACTTACTTCTGGGACCATTCACCAAATCTCTGAAATTCCCAGCTAGGGGAAGAGAGAGAGAAAGGAATGAGCAGTTGTTTGATGCCTGCCTGTCCCAGACCTATTTAACTTCCACAGCGCTCCCAATGGAGTCATGTTAGCCCCATTTTTTAGGGGAGGAGATTGAAATTCAAAAAATATCAGTTACTTGCCCAAGGATATACTGCTAGAAAAACGGCAGAGCTGGGAGGTTATGGCATCTGTTGGATACAAACCTTCCAGGAATTCCAGAGTCTACAGGGGCATCTGGTCTTGAGGGCTGCCTGAGGGGAATTTAATCTAAATTCTCAATTAAAGCCAGATGCTCTAGCTAAATCAATCATGAAACAATCCCAATCAACCCCAAACTGGTGGGAGAAAACAGATTAGCCAAAAGTTGACCATTCTTTCCACATTATAGATACTATGTCTTAAAAAGGGAGCTCTGGTGGCACGTTGGTTAAGCACTCTGCTGGTGGTGGTTCGAACTCATGGGAGAAAGATGTGGCAGTCTGCTTCCATAAGTCTTGCAGCCTCAGAAACCCTACGGGGCAGTTCTACCCTTTCCTATAGAGTCGCTATGAGTCGGAATCGACTTGATGGCAATGGGTTTGGTTTTTTGGGGCGGTTATGTCTTGAAAAAGTTACCAGCATAAATGGTTTCTTACCCATTCCCTAATATTCAATATTTTTAAAATGTATTTGCAAAAAATCTCACAAGGAGAGGGCCCATACCTTGGTCACCACTGAAACCCAAATTTCATGGTGATGACATATAATCATTTCTAATAAATATATGTTGGGTGAGCAAGCAAATAACTGCGACTAACACTGAATTCTCCTTGGCAGCTTGACTTCTGGTATCCAGATGCCACCCACCATGTAACTGCTAACAAGATGGTGGATTTCCGAGTGAGTGAAAACAACTCCCAGTCCATCCAGTCTGCCCTGGAACAAAATCAAATGCACTATGAGTAAGTCCTATGTATATATTCCAATGTGTTGTATAGTCAGAAGTTACTGGAGTCTTGAAATGGAGAGAAAAGTTTTGTTGGGTGCTTGCAAGTTGATTTTGGCTCATAGCGACACCATGTGTGCAGAGTAGAATTGCTCCATAGGGTTTTCAAGGCTGTGACCTTGCAGAAGCAGATCGTCAGACCAGTTTTCCTAGATGGCTCTGGGTGTATTCGAACAATCAACCTTTCAGCTAGTAGTCAAGCGTTTAGCCATTTGTGCCACCCAGGGACTCCTGAGCAAAGTATTACAATGGAACTAATTTTTAATTCAACCCAAAAAACTTAAAGTTCTTTAACTGTAAGAGAAAATTCACAGTTACTGCCAAACAGACTATTAAGTCCTGCTTATAGAGGTAACACAGCCCTGGTGGCACAGTGGTTAAAAGCTCAGGCTGCTCGCCGAAAGGGCAGCAGTTCAAATCCATCAGCTGCTCCTTGGAAACCCTATGGGACAGTTCTATTCTGTCCTTTAGAGGGTCACTATGAGTCCGAATCGACTTGATGGCAATGGGTTTGGGTATTTGTTGTTTTTTTTTTTTATAGAGGCAATGAGATCAGACTTGGAACTCAACTTCCATCTTAGATTTGTTCTGATCTGCAAGAACATGACAATGACCTACATCTGTCATATCTCCAAAAGCCAGTTGCTCATAGGTGGGAGCCCACATGAGCACATGGGTGGTTTAACATACATCATCATTACCGGCAGGTAATGCGCCCAGAGCTCACGAGCTACCAGTGATTACCAGCACCATGTTCAGACATTTAAATTTCCCTGATACATAAAAGGAGGCCCCCAAAATGGGGCTTACCATTAAGTTAGGGATATAGGAACGTGAAATAGATAATAAATAAGTCATTCTTTATGAAAGAAATTCTCCCTCTGAGAAAGCAAAGGCAAAGCAGGAAGCAAGACAGAAATTAAAGAGATGAGAGAGAATCTCAAAGAGCCCACTGTGTGGAATGAGTCATTCTGGCCCTGTAGAGAAATAAGGGAAATCTAGAATTTATTGAGCACCAATCATGGGCCAGGCACAGTTCTGGGCCCTGGGGAAATGAAAGGAGCCCTAACAATGAGTATCCCAAATCAACATGTAATTTAAAAAACAAAGTGTGGTTTTATGCTTTCAAACATTTAGAGGTTTGTTGTTCCGGGGAGTCCTGTTTTAACTCCATTAGCCCTCACCATCCCAAGATGCCCCTCTTTATTAAGACTTTCACCCCTCAAAACACGGCTAAGCACTAGTTTTTTTGTTTGTTTGTTTGAACTTGCTATTTCTTGCCTCCACTACCTAACTCAGTACTTTAACTCAAAAGTCCCTCTTACTCTGGCTGGCACAATCAAAGATCCCGCTGAAGTTGGGGATTTTATCCTGCAGAGTGGGATTTACTGCTGCTCATCACATCTAGTTTGTATTTACAGTACTGCTGCAATATCCCTAATAAAAATAAACTATATTGAAATTAAGGAAAGACATACACAAGACAAGTGAACCAAAAGCAATCCCTGTTCATGGCTTAAAAAGTAGCAGGCTATTACTTCTGATGGCTGTTGATCACTGTTTCTGTTATCGCTAGAAATCTTGCTGTGAATGAAATGTAAAAGTTAATAAATCTGGAGAACAGAATTCAAAATTAATTTACACCAGCGCTTTACCAGTTGCTGCCAAGTCAATTCCTACTCATGGCAACCTCACGTGTGTCAGAGCAGAACTGTGCTCTAATGGTGATTTTTCAGAAGTAGGTCGCCATTCCTTTTTTCCAAGGAGCCTCTGGGTGGACTCGAACCACCAATCTTTCAGTTCAGCAGCTGAATGCATTAACCATTGGCAACACCCAGACACTCCTACACCAGCATTTTAACCTTTTTTAATTAATAGAATGGTATGTGCTTTTCTATGTTTTTACAAATTGCACAATTAAAATTAGAAATAGACATGACCCTCTGTATAGGACAGGGTAGAACTGCCCCACAGGGTTTCCAAGGCTGTAATCTTTACAGAAGCAGACTGCCACATCTTTCTCCCGCAGGGTGACTGGTGGGCTCGAACCGCTGACCTTTCGGTTAGCAGCCAAGTGTTTAACCACTCCACCACCAGGGTGCCTGAGACACTCTACAAATATACCTCCAAGACCCAGAAATTAGTAATACATTATAGACAATCTGCTTATGCTAACGTTTGGATGACATTTTGATTCTTCCATCTAAAAGAATCACCCCTCTTCACTATGTAACCTCCAGCTTCTCAAATGTGTGCCTCCGCTACTGCACCCCTCGCTTTACTTCATTAGTATTGACCTGATCTAGATTCCTATAATCAACCAAGTTGTACCAAGTAACCAGCCCAAGCTGAAATACGGTAGTGCTCTGGCCAAATTTGATATAATTTGGCTTGGGCAGCAGAGTGAAGGCGTTATGTTTTTCTTAATGGCCTGGTGATGGAGACAAAAAGCTACTTGCTTGAGCTGACATCACTTGATTTTATCAAGGAACTCAATCAGCCCTCTCTCCTCTTCGGTCCTCTAGGCCTATTCCTGTTGTTAGGTGCCGTTGAGTTGCTATAAGACAGAGTAGAACCGCCCCATAGGGTTTCCAAGGAGCAGCTGGTGGATTTGAACAGCCAGCCTTTGGGTTAGTAGCTGAGCTCTTTAACCACTACACCACGAGGGCTCCAAAGCCTTTCCTCGCCTGACTCAAATAGAGGTTTAATCCAGCTTCTCACAGATAGTGTGTTTTTTGCTTATCTTACACCAAGATACTTTCTTGCTATCTACATCAAGAGTCAAAGTGTTAAACTACCTATAAAAATTAGTTTTATCTAATTAGAACGTGATTTCTAGAAATTGGCCCAAATTAGCTACAGTTGTGGGAAATCCACATAATTAGATAGTTACTTTCCTCAGAAATATAAATATGTAAAGTGATCTGTGCAGACAAGAACTATTTAAAATCTTGTCTCCGAGTACTAATTATATAGATAATTTTATTTGCATATTAATTATATGTGTTACTCGGTGTCAGTCAGTAACAGAAGAGGGTTCTCAGAACAGAAACATCTGGTAGGACCCAGGCACCAGGCTGAATAAACCCATATTAAGAGGCTGGTTTGACACAATGATTTACTTAGACACCCTTCATTAGACAGTGCATATAAACCACTATTTAGCTTAAAGCTTCTGCATGTGATTTTTTTTTTAATTTTCAGAAAATTAAATTACTGAGACCGATTTGATTTTAAAGTCGCATGCTCGCTTCCTTTTTATTTACACTTTTTCGAAATCATAAGAGTCCAAAAACTGAATACTGTGCATATATGAACAAACCTGAGCAGACTGGTGAATAAAGGCCTAAAGGAAAGCACGTCTCTTGGACTGAGCCAAGAAGGGCAGCCGCCATATTGCAATTCATCAGTTAAAATCCTCGTTTTGTGACTCACTTTTTTTACATTTTAGATAGCCAGTCTTGAACATTTCCTTCTCTTTGATCAAAAGTTAATATTAGAAAATAAAGAGTTGTTAATGAAAGGCAATTCAGAAAATAATTATTCCTATAATAATAATAAATTAAAAAAAAAAAACAAATCCATTGCTGTTGAGTCGATTCCGACTCACAGCAACCCTATAGGACAGAGTAGAACTGCCCCATAGGGTTCCCAAGGAGCAGCTGTTGGTTTCAAACTGCCGACCTTCTGGTTAGCAGCTGAGCTTTTAATAGTAAAACCTAAAAAGGACAATACAGCAAAATCTTATTAGGATCCATGCAAGACTATGTGGGAAATGCAAGAGATAAGCGCCAAACTATCACAGCAGTAATCACCAACTCGTATTAATGTCTAATTACCTAATAAATGTTCAGTCAGACACAAATTCATATCCCAAGCATATCCATAGTCCCATCAAATAAGTGTTTCAATCAAATCATTATGATGTGCCATCCCGTTCATTTTTCCTTCTGCTCCACATTGGTATATATTACTTGCTCACAAGCAAAGCATATATGTTAGAGCCTACTACCAACGCCCAAGAGGTGCTGGTCATGGAGAGAAGCAGAAGAGTGTGATCGGTAAAAAAGCGGGTTCGGGTCCAGTCCCACTTAAACCACAAATTAGACATTCAGCGTTGACAATTTCTTTAAACTTCTCTCAACCTCATTTACGTCAACTCTAAAACAGGGATAATAACCATACACAAATAAACACACACACTGTGGTACAGGGGATTACTAGAAGCTATCCTCAGAGTCTCCCTTTCTCTCTAGTGAATAAATAAGTGCCTTCGAGTTTATTATTCAACCAAAGATATGGCTCAAGTGTTGGGAAATCTATGTCAGTAAGTGCAGTTTGATGCATGGTAGCCCCAAGTAGGGAGATAATTGGAGAAAATGGGAACTTGTGGAAATCTGAAACCATGCTCTTTCAGTAGGCCCTGTCCTGCCGGGAAAAAGCCTTGGTGGTGCACTGGTTAAAGCGCTTGGCTGCTGACCAAATGACAGGCGGTTCGAACCTACCAGCTCCTCCGTGGGAGAACCATGTGGCAGCCTGCTTCCATAAGAATTTACAGCCTTGGAAACCCTATTGGGCAGTTCAACTCTGTCGTTACAGGGTTGCTATGAGTTGGAATTGACTGGATGGCAATGAGTTTGGGTTTGGAATCTTCTAGGAGGAGCCCTGGTGGCGCGGTGGTTAAGCTCGCAGCAGCTAATGAAAGGTCGGCAGTTCCAACTCACCAGCCGCTCTGCGGGAGATGGATGTGGCAGTCTGCTTCTGTAAAGATTGACAGTGTTGGAAACCCTATGGGGCAGTTCTACTCTGTCCCATAGGATCCCTAGGAGTCGGAATCGACTCAACAGAAACGGATGGGTATCCTGCTGTGATGTGGGCATACAGAGAGTTCAATTAAGGTCCCTTAACAACAACTCTGCCTTGCTGAAACATCCTTCCCCATTGTATATATACACA